GTAGGCATCAACGTTTTTGTATGAAGTTTTGCAGTCTAAAGCAGTGTGAACCCATTTGAGTCAGTGAGCACGTTACCTCTTCCTGCTCTGAAGATGATAGTGTCAAAGCTGCCATATATAAGTAGGTGGTAGATGAAAGGATCAACTTCCCAAACTTGGGGGTGTGGCTGGTTCTGTTCCCTCCGTTTTTCAGAATCTTGACTCTGTCTCCCTCTCTTTTTCCTCTGCCTCCCTCTCTTTTTTTCCTCTGCGTTATGGGAAGGATTATATGGGCTAGCGGTTTAGGATTATTTCCTTGTCTGATCATAGCTGATGATGTCAAAGTGCCTTTATTCGTTGTGTCCTTCTGTAGTGCTTTAGTTCATAATACGGATGTCTGAAGTCTGCTGTGGAGTGGAAAAATAAAGACTCCTGCCTGTATAATGCGGCTGTCACAACTCTCAATAGTAGGGACAGAAAATTGTCCAACACTACTCTGTACACTTGAAGTAAGCGCAGAAACTGTATCTTCGTTCTGTGTCAAGCAGGTGTGCGCATAGTACCCACTTCCCAGTTTTATATTTTATGCAAGGTTATCATGAGAGGCAGACATCCTGGCAAGAAGTGCCTTGATTAAGTTGGTGCTGAAGGCTAGGCAGGTACACGAGGGTAGGCTTGCCATTACACTAGATTTACTTAGAATCTTTCAATTTCTGTGAAGCTAGACTGTTTGTAAAAAATTGTAGTATCCTGAGCAAGCCATATTCGCAGGTCACTTTCAAACACTTCCTTGTAAAAAAAGTTATAAGAAGATGTCAGAGAGGTATAAAACAATTACTGTAAGATCACAAGTTGGAAAACCAATTTGTTACAAAGGAGTGGAACACATCCCAATTTCTATGACTTTTGTAGATGCTGCCTCAGGATCAAATACCATCATAACACCAAAATAAAAGAGATGATTATTGAATATGTCTTAAAGAAAAAGAAAAGTACAGTAAACCAGACTCTGGTTTCCATCGTCTGAGATTTCCCACTCGTGTGAGAAAATTAAACTGAAGCCACATGATAATTCCTATTTGCAAAAGCAGGGGAGGTTGACATGTTTGGTAAGTTGGACAGCTTCAGCGAGGAATGACCATTTCAGTTGATGCTTATCAAAGCTGTGGCCAGCTCTCTTGCATGTTCCTCTTTTCCATGAGCTCTCCCAGTTCTTGTTTGCTGAAGGGCTGTGAAGTGTCGGTGTAAGGGGAAATCGATAAATATGAGCCAGAAGTAGATGCACACAGGGAAGCTAAGAATAGCACAAGCATGAAATGGTGCTTCCATGGTGTACTCTCCCTGTTGGTGACAGCCTGAGGGTCAGAATCTTGCTGAGCAAACCGTAGTGTTTCAGTTTTAATAACCCCTGTAGTTTTTCTGTGAATTTTTCCAGTTGCCTTTTGAATTCACATAACATCTTGGCATCAACACATCCTGTGACAAGCAATTCCACTGTCAGGCTCACAAAACTGCATGTTTTATGAAGAACAATCTGTGGTAACCTTGAGCTGAACACCTGCTGGTTGGATATGGTGCTCCTCAGTTCTGTCATGGAATGAGGTAGTGAACCCAATCCCTGTTCATTTCTTTGCACCTGTAAGGGATTCATAGACCATTTTTGGTGAAAGTGCAGTCTTTTGTCATCTTCAGGTGTTTGATGGATATAGACTTTTTGGAGGAAAACCTATGAAATTTTTAATGGTATGGTGAATTACTTTGTGCAGCTCTGTATAGATGTTTAAATAAAGACATTTAAAGATAGTTCTAAACTCGCTACTGTATCTTTAATGTACTTCAATTTCTACATGTATAAGCCTATATCAAATTTAGCACTTGGCTCCTTCTGTAGAGCCTTATCATTTTGAGAGCCAAGTACAATAGCTCTTTTATTTTGAAGATTTAGTAAACTTTATATTAGTACATTTTCAAGTAAGGCTGAATGTTCTCTTGCAGTATGTGTATTACACATCTCTTTACATATGTGTGATCTTGCAACCAAAGTGATTGTCTTTTATTAGCTGCGTTTTTTAAATAGCTTTCTGATTTCACTGTTAGGAAGCTGAGGAAAAAGTGCATATTTTCACTGGGTGGGTTTTTAAGATGATGGTAATAAAGCCTGGCTGACTGGTGATCGTAAGACTGTTCATCTAACCACAGTTTTTACCTTGTGTGATTTTATGGTACATTGAGAGAATTGGTAGGTATTAATGGAGGCTTATCTTCTGTTACAGAGCCTAATTTCTCTACATATAAGTAGCAGTCTTGAAGCAAGTAACTCTTTTTTGTTCTATATTTATATAAATATTCATTTACCTATAGAGTAGACATAAAAATTGAAAGAATACCTCTGAAGGGGTCTTTATCTTTTACTTTGTCTGTCGTCCATGCATACATGCTATTGTTAGTGATATTTGTATTCTTCGTCCTTAGTTGTAGGAGTAAAGCAACTATTGTTAGTTTGAATATTGAAAATCTTAATGCTTTGGAAATACAGTAGTGGTTGTGTTCTGTTATGTTCCTGAAGTGTTCAGGTTTCTGATCAGAGGAAATTATAGATTAATTAAAGTTAGTGTATGAGGTGAATGATGGCATTCAGAGCCAAAGGTTGCTTTACCCTGAGTTACTCATGACTGCAGATAGGTAACATATTTTCTCACTTTAAATGGTGGAAATGATGGAACTTCTTCAAATTCACTTGAAGAATAGGAATGAACTTAAAAAATAGAACCATTTTAATACTTCTATTATTCTAGTTTTCTTTTTACTTGAATACCTCTTGAGTAATCTCCCTGGGATGTGTTCAGGCCTTTCCAATAAGCATGCTCTCACAAAAAGAGCTGAAGAATATTGTTAGCCAGTAAATACGTTTATTAATTTTTTTTCCATTTGTTCTTTTCTCACCAGATAGCTCAACATGAACTTTAACTGTCAAGATCATTTTAAAAGTGAACAGAACAGTATTTTTCCTTCTGAGAGCTGGCTACGGGATTCTGAGTTTCTCCTGCAGTACTGTCCTGTTCACTACCATTTCCTAAAGCAGGACATGGAGCTATGTTGTGTTCTTCACGTTAGGTGCTAATGAAGTTAACTTCCTTCATCAGTGGAAATGCAGATCCATGAAATTACATTTTGTGCAAGTAAGTTAATGAGGGAAGTGTTAAACTTTGCTATCACATCATTGTTGTTTTGTTTTATATTGATATAGCTCCAAAAAGTCCCTTTTAGCCTTGAGTTCCAAATGGTAGAGGAGGTTAGTGTTGGAGAACCATTACAATGTAAAGCTTCTCTGCAATTTTGTCATGCTCGTGAGCTGCTGCTTTGGTTACATGGTTAGCAGCATAGTTAAGAAGACGGGTGCCAAGTGCATACGTGTGATTTGGCCTGCTGGCAGCACATGCATGAACTCAAAAGAAGATAGATACAAGTTCCTAGAACTAGTTTCTATGTTTAATTTATAGAATGCTTCCCTGCAGCAGGCTTATCTAGAGCAAGCCCTAAAGTTGTCTTGTATTCTGATTTTCTGTCCAGCTGATCAAGTAATTTTGTACAATAGGGAATTCTGTAGTGCTGAAATAACAAGTGTACCTGATAAAAGTCCAAAGGTATTCAGCAGAGTACAGGCAACAGTGGCTTCTGCTGCAGTTACGACTGTTGAAAGTCTGATATGCCTTAGAAGTAAAATACGAAGGTATTAATTTGGAATTTTTTAGCTCATGTCATGCATCTGAAAGCAAGTTGAAGTTTGACTTGAAGCAGTTTGACTGCTGATGAAGCTAATTTGTTAAATTGAAAATTACAAGACATTTGCAATATTTTCATTATTATATGCCTCTCTCTTTGAGGAGTAAATACCCTTGAAAAACCTGAATGTTGGTTATTAATTTGGTAAGTATCCTGATGGATATGTAACCTTTGAGTAGTGGAAAATAGGGGATGTGAGAGTTCAGGGAAAAAAAATAACTATTTCCTCTCTTTTATGAAGAGGCAGTGCTATTTTGGGAAAATTTGGATTCCTAACTTTTCAGAATACAGTCCTTCAGTTGCCAAGGCTTGAAAGCACCTTAATGTCATAGTTTGAAAGGTGCTGTAAACATGTCAGTATTGCATGTGAAAGCATATTTCAGCTGTATTCAGAAATCTGTTTTCTTTTGCAGTTTGTGACTCTATGGAACTTGAGTAGCATCGTCTGAGGAAGGCGAAAATCTATTTTTTTCATAATTTCTGAAGTGATAGGTGTATATGGCAGGAGTCTGCAGAGTAGCGTTAAGAGTTGAGGAAGTGTTTGCTTTTGGCTTCATATAAATTCTAGCAGCTCGCCCACTTGTAAGAGAACAAATTTGTGTACTGAAACTTAGCAGATAAGTATTCCTGCTTTTAATGTTTGTCTTGCTAAACTTTTGGATGTTTTGATTTAATGTAAGATTTGAAGAAATTGAAGGTTTTAAAAATGTGTCTTCAGTTTTGAAAGACTGTCTGCAGGATGTGTGTTTATACTGTTAAATACCTGCTATAAATTTTCTCCTTCTGATCAAGAAATGCTTAAATACACAGGTTTTTCTTTTTTAAGTGGCCATATTCCACAAAACTTTAATTACTATGCTTTGAAAATTAAATACTGTAAAAAGAGGTAGGCTTTGTGAGCACCATTTCACCTGCTCAGTGTTTGTGTAATACTGATAGACACATTTGCAGATTTAAAGAAAATGGAGACACAGGTAAGAAAAAAGATATTTCATGTTTAAGAACTGCTGTTATGGGTTGGGAGAGAGAGATTACATTCCTTGCTGTCCTGATCTTAGATTTCCTATTTGATAGTACATAAGTTACTTAAGTCTCGGTCAGGGTCCTTAAGCATGTAACACAGTTTCATGAAAGCACATTGATACTATTGCTTGATCAAGACCTGGATCATTTTCCATCTGGCATATCTTTACAGTACACAGTTTTCCTCTCCAGCTATTATTCTTGTTTGTTTAAACTATAATTGCCTCACTAAACAAAAAGACTCACAGCTTGAGGGGTACAAATGCTACAGTAGTACTAAGGCTGGGTGATAGTGTTTCAGTCTCCACAAGTATCTAGGTGAGGATTATGGCAGTTCAGATAACAATATTTGAAAATGTGACATTAATGTTGGATGTGATACTGCTTTGTGGTTTGCATAAACTAATAGGTCCTATGCAGTTAGGATAATCTGAGTTACAGTTGAAAACCCTCTCTGTGCCCTGTTATAAGTCTGAGCCCAGTATACAGCTTGGGGAATTTGAATAATCAGAGTTGACTCCTTTGTTTTAATTCTGCTTTCTCTTGATTTGTGTTTTGTTGTAGGTTGTTGTTAACTGTGTTGGCAATGTCTATGATTTTATCTGCCTCTGTGGTCCGTGTGAGGGATGGACTCCCACTGTCTGCATCTACTGATTATGACCAGAGCATGGGAATGCAAGAATGTAGAAAATATTTTAAAATGCTCTCAAAGAAACTTTCTCAACTTCCTGATAGATGTACTCTGAAAACTGGGCAGTATAATATAAAGTAAGATTTCCCTTTTCTGTATTTGCAACATCCCAGGTTGTGTCTGTCTAAGTTATAAAGTTAACAGTTCACATTAGAAGATTGATTCTTGGCTGTATTTATGTATCAGAATTTGACTGAGAAATTGTAGAAAGATCTGAAATCTACTCAAACTTTAGTAGAAGTTCTAGTTTGAAATAGACAGTATGTTTATAAATATTTAAGCCCTTGACCTACTAGAAATATTTCTTTAAATTTCACGGTTGTTTCTTACACAGAAGTGTCCAGGCTTGTTCTTCATCATGCTAGTTCAACTAGTATTCATTGCTTTTTCTCTTTTTAGTCTACACACATCTTAGAAAGTACCCAAATGCTTTCATAACCCAGTATTTCTGACCACTTGTGGTTAGGATGTTACGGAATTAGGCCCTTTTATTGTACTTTCAGGATTCCTATTGTCTTGAGAGAAAATATGCCCTAAACCCCCAGCGAAACTCAGTGATTTTTTCAAATGGCACACTAGGGAGTGCAGGAGTGGGAAGACAGTGTGAAGTCAAGTGGTGAATGGTCAGATGGAGCCTACCAATCCTATTGCTTCATTCAGCACTTTCACAACAATGGTTTTTGTTTTCTCTTCACACTTCTGTATTTTGACTTTTTGTTTTAATAGCTATTCCTAATGTTTTTACAAGTCAATTCCATAGTGTACCTGCATGACAACACTGATTAAGTACTAATTCAAAAGATGCTCTTTTTTCCCATTTGCAGCGTGAAATTTGGATTATTGTGAAATAATTCTTTGAATCTAATTTTGTTTATATGTGACCTTTCTCCTTAGTATTGGTAACTAGGTGTTCATGTGTGTAGTCAGTGATTCAGTTGCACTTTAGCTGAGCTAAATTCTGATTCTAATTTAGATATGTCTTTTTAAATGAGGTAATTTTGTCCTAACCCCTAGCAAACATGTAGAAGTTACAGTGGTGAAAAGTATACCACCTGAATGATCCTATAAATAGCTCCACCTTCTCCATTTCCCGTTGGTAGGTTTGAGTTTCCAGCATTTCTCAGGATGAGGTCCAGCGCAGACTTAATTTTTTCTAGTTGATGTTTCTTTTAAAACCTCAGCTGTAGTTGGCTTGTAAACTGATCAGCTTTAAGGAAACTTTTAAGACTGACACATAAGACTTAGTCAGGAAGTTTTTTTATTACTCTTAGCTTTGATTACTTTTAATAGTATAAGTTCATTATAAAGATTTTGAAGAAATGTGAATCTCTCATTAAAATACAAACTGTTTAATGAATTGCCTAAATGCAATAGGGATATGTATATTGAAAACTGTCCCTTTCTGATTTCATATTTGCCATCTCTAGTCATCCTTGCGACTGTCTTTGGAGAATGATGAATCCCGTATTCTACAGAACAGTTTTATTTCCTCATATATCTTAGAAAGAAGCAACTGCCAAACCTCCCCTCCCCTGCCCCAATCTGAAGATAAGTTTTTGCATCTTTGGGATGCTCCAGATCACGTATTCTGCATTTGAGATGAATGAAAAGCTATTATTGGACAAACCTACTGTGTTTTTATCCCGGAAGCTTTATGTTATTTTCTGTTCCATGTATATAAGAGTGTGTACATACACATACACACACATACGCACATTCATACATGGATGTGTATAACATAGCTTCTCATATCATCATACAAGGTGATGCTAAATTAAAACATTACCTAAAAGTAAATTGCTTTTCTTCTAGAGTAATGTTGCACTTCTCAGTAAACATTACTTCCCTTAATACCCCAGAGCAGTTTTTGCTTTTCTGTTTATAGAATATGAAATCAGACTAACGAAGCAGCAAATATCCTGGATTCAATTTTGAAGTTTTCAATTTGTTGTTTCAATTACAGCTTTATAAGTTCTCTGGGAGTAAGCTATATGATGTTGTGCACTGAAAATTATCCCAGTGTCCTGGCTTTCTGCTTCCTGGATGAGCTTCAGAAGGAATTCATCACTACCTACAATATGATGAAAACAAATACTGCTGTCAGACCGTACTGTTTTATAGAGTTTGGTAAGGATCTGACTTCTTTTTTTCTTGATTCACACACTAAGACAAATGAGTATTTAAATAGATGTGCAATTTAACGTACACAAACCAAAAATGTCAGTTTATTAAAAAAAGGCAGTTTATAGCTGTATTTCAAGTGGATTTAGAATCTGATTTAACTCCCCTTAGAATCAATAAAGAAATAGTTCTGTGGTCATTGTATTAGGCTACTAGATTTTTATCCAGACTTGTTTTTAATCTTTCTGTTCTTTCCAGCAGGTTTTGGTTTAAGCCTTGTGTGACCCAATCTGGATTTCATCTTCTAGTTAATTATACTAGGAGTTGTTTGGCTTCAGATCTGTAGAAATGCTTACTGCCTGTAGAGGCATTTAGCTTAAATTTATCAAGTAAAAGACTGCAACTTCATGTTTGCTCTTAGCTGTGGTGTAATTTTTGTTCAGTACATGAAAGGGAGAGATTTTTATTTGTTTTATGATATAGTGAAGCGTTTAATCTTGTCATACAAGCTCCAAATACAACTAATCTCATGTATACCAGATAACAGCTGTTACGGATTCCATTAATATGTGTAGCTTTAATACTGTAGGTTAGGCAGGTATTTTAAACATTCCTATGAAATGCATTAGAGCACAAAGAACTGCAGTTTAAGAAATGTGGCGGAAGATATTCCAGTTAGTTAATTCCTGTCTATAATTCAGTCAGGCAATTTCTAACAATTTCTGTATAACGTTGTCTTACTTAGGAAGATTTCTGTGAGTACTTTCTATTTCCCCCAACGCCTTCTTTGTTCTACTAGTTGTTCAGTTAGAATGTGGATCTGTTACAGTCATTATAACTGTATAATATGGTATTAATTTTCTCTGCCTGAATATTTTGCAATTGTATTTCATACTCAAGTAAATTTATACTTGAATGCAGGAACTCATTTTTCATAAAGGATAGTGACCAAACTAACGGAAAAGCTAGAATTAGTGCAGTAAAATCATTGTATTCACAATGCATTTAGTCTCATGCAGTGAAAAGTCATTAGTTTATTCACAGTTGTTATGTAATTAGATTTTTAGAGCTCAATTTATTTTTTTTTAGTGCAGAATTAAATAGCCCACGATATATTAGTTACAAACCAGAAATAGCATTAAAAAAATCCAAAATAAACACAAGTATTTCAAACAACATATTTCAGTTTGTGAAGCATGTCGTACGGAAAGCTGCATGGTCTTGGATTATTTAATTAACAGAAGTACCTAAATATATACCTTTTTATTTTAAATTTTACACAGATAATTTCATTCAGAGGACCAAACAGAGATACAACAACACACGTTCTTTGTCAACGAAGATGAATCTTGCTGACATGCAGACAGAGATCAAACTGAGACCACCTTACCAAATTTCCTTGTCAGAACTTGGTTCAGCTAATGGGTTTGCACATTTGTCTGTGTCTGAATATAAGGGTACTGGTAAGATATCTGCAGGTAAGCTTCAGCCTTTTGGTTTTGTATCTTTAAGTGAGACAGTTGCAGGGTATTAATCTTTGATATTTTTTTCTTTACAAAAAACTTTTTCATCATGATGTTCTTAAAGCATAAATCTGCCATGACCTTACATGTGTTTTACCTTAAATGTCTGAAGTTTTGTCCTCTGCTCAAAGTGCATATATTTCCAAGGCATCCAGAAGGAGAAATGGGTCTATCCAACAGACTGCTTTATTGAAGGGAAAAAAAAGCCTGTATGAAAATAAGCAAATGAAGATGAACACCTAACAAAATGATCTTTCTGACCTTTTAAGATTTATGAAAATGTTTATTATTCTTGCCCACTGATTACATAAGCTAAGAGCATAGTGTCAGGAGTTAGAGCAACTGGAGGGAGAAGCAACACTTCAGGAAGTATCTGTGACTGTGAAAATCCCAAGAGCTGTGCTGGCTAAAGGATGTACTCTCTAAAAATAAGTGCCTTGTGTACAGTGTTAATAATAGCAAATTTGTATATACTTGCCATATACATTTAAGTAGTCATTAATTTTTTTTTAAGTAGTCATTAATTTTTTTTAAGTAGTCATTAATTATTTTAAACTTTAATTTATTTGATGTAGGAGGTAAATGTGGAATTCTGTGGTTTGTGCTGTTAAGTGACTGCTCTGAATCTGTTTAAGGCCTATCTTTAGATGTTTCCCAGCAGGACAGATCCCGTAAAACTCACGAAGTCCTTGCAGTAATACATGGAATCCACTTGTGAAACTCTGGAGTTTACTTCACATAATCTGATTTCAGCCTTTCAAGTTTAGTGAAGCAGAATCATAAATAGAATAAAAGGAAGTGTTGATTTTAATTAGTTAGTATCTTCCCCTTTTTTTCCAAAAGTACCTCTTGTCAATAAGGTGTGTTATCCTGGGCAGACATACATGAATGCTGTTCACTTCATAGTGTTGGGATGAAAATTGCAGTCATAAATCTAAACACTTCCTACAGTTTTGTCATATAAGAGATCAGCTTAATTTTGTTTATATATGTGTATTAAAATAGGATCACTCTGTCAGTGTGATATCCTAATTACTTTACTTACTCCTCTAGAAAATTAAAAACTACTTGCTACTAGGGTGCCTTAGGTGTACTGCTGGGGCCTTCAGCCTGAGAATTTTGGGTGCTATGAGACAGTGCAGAGATATCCACGTGTAAGAACCTTTTCTACTATGAAGTAAAATTAAACAATAATTCGCAGACAGTCTTCCAGTTTTTTCCCCTACCTCTCTACAACTTGACTTACAGAAGCATTTGTGCTCTCCTCTTTTATTTCCATGTTGACTTTCTTCTGTTTTTCTTTCACTTACTTTTAACTTTCCTCTTCCTCTGAATTCCATAGAGATCTCTGATCAGTCACCCACTTCCTTCCTTGAATTGCTGTAGAAACTCATCGTCAAAGGACTGTACATTATGAGAGGTTTCCATTGTGCTCTTCCTTCAGCTCTTCAAATTTTAGATGCTGTTGAATATCAAGAATCTTTTCTAGGAAGTCTGCTAATAGTTTTGTAATTCTTTACATTCATTGCTTCTCTCCACCCTTGGAAATAACTTTCTCTGGTTGTTTCCTACCTACTCAGTTGGCTAGACTTCAAAGTTTCTCCTTCTCTTTAAGGACAAATTCTCACAAAAAAAAAATGGTTTGCTTAATTTTCTGAATATGCTGTCCTGTTAAAAATATGACTTGCTATAAGTGAATCAAGTATGTTAAATCAAGTTGAGTAGCATGCAGAGGGAGGAAGTTAGATAGATGCAAATCTTGTTTAGTTATACAGAATAGAAGAATCTGATGTATTCGTTTTGGCTATGCTGATGGGGCATTTTCTTTTACTTGCTTATACATGTAATTAGATACGTATCCCAAGGGCTAGTGTGTAGGTCTCTTTGTTAAAGCAATTCTAAATAGCAGCTCTTTTCCTTTAACAAAGTTGTGCTGTGTAGTGAGGAATAGGGGTTATTATTAATGTGTGAAGCATAAAGTGTGCAGCTTATGGATAATGATTTTGCTTCAAATGAATGTAGGTGTTGGCAGGCATTAGAAGTAGGGAGACAGCATGCTGATGTGTGATAGTTAGGATAAATTTACTATTTTCTGATGGTTTTTTCAATGAAAGAACAGTTGTCAAATCAAGGTTACTTTTTGCCTGATGACACCATCACATGTCACACAAGAACTTGATGCTGGTTTGGTGGTGGTTTGGTTGTTTGGTTTTTGATTTGGTTTGGGTTTTTTTTCCCATTTTATTTTTAAATAAATGGCCTTACAAGTACTACAGTTTCTCACTATGAGTAAATGTCCTGAATTGTTACTTAAACATCAACATTTTAATTCAGAATTTGTGCTTTGCTTGATCCTTGGCTTGCGTTAGAGAGGTTTTTGATAGGGCAGTTAAATATTAACAATGTTTCTGTATGTACTGACTGAAGGTCAGCTGTGCCTTACCCTGCCCTCTCTGACACCACCTTCATTCTTCTGGGTTTGCCTTTTTTTTTCTTTCTTTTTTTTTTTTTTTGGTATATAAATGACTCGTGTCGGTTTGATTGTAAGACTGAAATTTATTAAGCCTGGAAGAGCTTAGTGATATCAGTAGTGGTATGCAATGTCCTTAAAAGGTTTTGGATTTGTTTTCCTATTTTAATAAGAGAGAAAGGTTATTATTTTATGATCCTTCATAGACTGTCTTGATTTGGCCGACAAGACTCTTTCCCCCCCATGGTTCTTAAAGAGGTGGTTTAAATACTGAATTAATACATGATGTTTTAAAGTTACCCTGATATATGGGGAAAACGGGATTGTCTGGAGAGCTGTGCATGAAGAGCAGTGAACTAATTTTATCCACCAGTTAATGAAGTGCAGTTACCTTTGGCTAAAAACAGTCACATGCACCTTCAGCTTTTTGCCTCTCTCTAGCTGAGATGATTTAAAAAACCCCAAAATGAAACAACCGGTTATGAGTCACCGAAAGCGGATGGTTTGGTATGCAAATAGCATATCTAACCTTAAGTGAACGATTGCTGGGTGTATTCCTCTAATATGCACTACAGTTTCAAAAGCAATAAGCTCTGAAAGTTAAACATGGGCTATGCTTTTGTTTAAAAAAAATCCCAATTATGCTTAAATTCAGCACAAATGAGCTAACTGGACTGATTTCATGTTTTATTTTTAAGTTATCACACACTCATAATTAGGCAGCCCCGTCTGCTTATCAGTGTAAAATAGCTTTTGTCATTTTTTCTTTAGGTTCTGTAACTTCATAAACTGTTTGCAAAGCGCTTTTTCCTGGATCTGTGCAATGCAAACAACCAGAATTGACACCCCCCTCTCTATTAATGTTACAGTTCATTAACCTCATTGTCACATCTTTACACTTCGTTGACTTGAACAGAATGATTTAAGTATGGCTCAGTGGTCCTGTTGTTTTCCCAGTGTTGCCTAGACTGTTAAGAGATTTTTCATTGTTTTTTTCATATTTGCTTTCTGTTATTAATTATGGAAGGGGACAGTAATGAGGAACATACACAACCGTTATGTACTTGTGACCCTATATGAGCCAGAAAGAGTGGGTGTGCATGGAGAGAAAGCGTGTTCTAGTTTTAATGTGTTTTGTAAGAGACTTCTAGGTACTATCACTATCCAGAAGGTCTGTATAAGGCTGTAATATAGATAATAGCTTAGTTTCAGAACTGTCTTTTTATTTGTGTCTTGGGTAGCTCTACCTTTTAAGGGAGGAGACTGTAATAGCTTTGCCTTACAGTGTTCTGTTGAGCAAACAAGCCGAATCAGTCTCAATAGCTCTGCTAATGCATTAGTGTTAAAGAAAAGTGGAGGTTGTTGAGGGCAGCTCTTACTTGACTTATGAGCTGGATGCTAATCGTGGACAAATTTCACTAGCAAGTGCATCATTTGCCATTGATTTCCTGGCATGTTTGAGCAGCTTTCAGTGTCATACTGAATGTATTGAGTTAAGGACTAAATATAATAAGACAATTATAAATATGAATTGAAGGAAACCGTATGTTTTGTTAAAACTTGTGTTGAAATATTTAAAATGTTTCTTCTTTTTTTTAAAAAAAAAAAGATTGACATTTTGTGGTTTGTTTCAGTGATCTTTTTTTGAGCTAGAAGCCACTGAAAAGTGAGATTACTATTTTACTTAATTTCCCAAGACATTGCTTTGACCTTTGGTATCTTGTTTTGATCTTCTGCTTTGCAGCTCCTCATCAGCGCCTGGAACCTGTGACTCTGCCAGGGATTGTCTCATTTGTGCTTAGTCTGTTATGTGGGGCTTTGAATTTAATTCGTGGCTTTCATGCCATAGAAAGTCTTCTCCAGGTATTGTACATGCTTATGAATTTAAGTGTTATGCATCATAGCAATCATAATATCACCTTAGAAGATGCTTGCTATATGAACTAAATCTTGCCAGTTTTGTCTTCAGAGATACTGTTTGTGAGGTCAGACCTCTGTTAATGAAACCTATGTTGATTGTGATCTGTGCATCCTTCTTGAGTGTGATGCATCATTCATTGAGGTTGTGAGTTTCAAAAGCAGTAGGAGGTGGGTGACTGACCCCTTCCCTAGGAACCTCAGTAGCAGTAAGTATGTGAACATAATGTTCTGTTTTCTAAATTTATGCCGGGATATGAGACGTTTAATTTTCAGAGATGTTATTTAAAAACACTTGAGAGAAATGATGAACAGCTTTGAAAATCTGACCATTTTTTTTTTAAAGGTCCCCAGAGCAGGGATCTTTAAACAGGCCTTGTAAAATTATTTTTTAGAAACATTTTTTGGTTTTTCCTTTGTTTTGAATAGACCTTCTCAAGTAGGATATAATTTTTCTTTGTCTGCTGAAAGGATCAATGTAAGGGAAAGTGTAAAGTGATTTCTTCCAACTCCTCATCCCCCACCCCCCAACAACTCCCTCACCAAACAACCTTCCCCACAAACATTTGTTTATGTGAGCACTCTGCTCTGACACTCCCTATAGACTTTCAGTTTCTTTCTATTCCATTTTTAATTCAGCATCTGGTGAGTTGTATTCTCATTGCTACAATGAAACTAACAGTGCTTAATGATTTCAAGCAAATCAAGTGAGTATGCTAGTAGTGCTGGCAAGCACCTGCAGAAAATTCATGTGTGTTACCACAAAAAGTGACTGACTTAACATTAAGTGGTTCTACTGTTGTGGAGATGGAGGTAGAAACTAAAATCCCTGTGGAAATTTTCTGAAAGAAAATGAGAATCCTCCTGCTTGGCTAATAGATAATATTTTTATTCAGACATATATCTGGACTTTATAACTGCAGTGCTTTTGATACATAAAGGACTTTTTTTAGGGAAGTAAGGTAAAGAAGATGTATTGCAGCTGTCTTATATAATTATTGATACATGTAAAGATTTAATAAAGTGGTAATATTTGAGGCCTCAGCATTTCTGAAGACTAATGAATGTATCAACAGGATTAATGGAAGTGTTCTGTACCAGGTCCTTCTTTTGAGTTGGTTTTTAAAGAAAAAGCAATGAATTAGTGAACAAACAGCTCTACTTTATCGCTAATTAGATATTTCTGTGTTATGCACAATTCTTTCAGTTTATAAATAGAAAAGAATTTAAAGTACACTGTAGTACAAATAGTACTGAACAGATTTCTACCACTTAGTGTGATATATCTAGAACTTGTTTTGTTACCTTTCTGCAGCTGATTTTTTAAAAAGAAATCCCAATGTTAGATTAGGCTATTTAAGTGATAATAGGGCAGCTAATTATTGTTGTTCTATATGTTATTGCATCTGGAGGTAATAGATGGCAGTACAGGTGGAAGATGGTTTTTTAATTTCTGGAAAATGAAGACACTAAAAATCCATTAAAATTTCTCTTCATTTACTTTATTATGGAAAAAACCCACAAGGCTTAGGGACAAAAAATTCAAAACACGATTAATGGGACTTCTGAGAAGTCATTCAAAAGCTTGTCTCTGAATTAGTGGTTCCTTTGTAATCAGTGATTTATTTGGGTGTTAGCAAAGCTCTGCTAAAATGTCTAGCTATACTCTAGCAAATATATGGTGGCACCAAGATAGACTTACATACAGTTTAGGAGTGTACTGCATCGTGCAGATAACTTTTATGTGCAGACATGCAAACTTTTCCTAGTCAACACTGGAGATGGAAATGCTTCACAATGAACATACTCTGAGCAGAAACATGTTGTAGTTCTGAATGGACCATCATCTTATCGAAATGATACTCGCCTTTCCAGGAAGAAATTTGCATGAATACCCATTGTTTTCCTGGGAAAGTTTCCGATTGTTGCAGATGTTTGTTTGAAATGTGGTTCGAATAATCACTGAGCATGCAAATTTATTCTGCTTAGTTCTATAGAAACTATAACAACCCATGTGAGTAAGTTAGAAGGAATTCTTTTTGGTTTGTTTTTAAACACGGAGTAGAAAGATCTATCACTTCAAGTAAATTTTTCCATCTTTTCCTTCAAGACAATGTAATTTTCCAATAATCTTTCTGATAAATTCATGTGCTTTTGTTTGCTTTCACTGCAATGAACACACAGCTGCCTGCTTTACTCTCTGTGTAGAATTTTACCACACCCTAGTGGCCAGTTTGTCTTCTCCTTTTATCTCTTTTCCATCTTGTCAAGCTGGAGGAAGGCATAATTCTACAAAGTTTTATTAAAGGTAGTTACAGTGTTTAGACTTGAATTTTGAGAGGCATCTGGAGAAGGTGAGTATCCAGTGCTAGATCTGGACTTTCTTTAAGGCTTTTGAAAATCTCAGCATTAGTTGTCTGTTGTGAATAAACATTCTGGTCAGATTCCAGATCACTGTCTGTTTTTTTTTTTTTTTCCCCCAGACATATAAGTAAACAACAATTAATGCTAACTCTTTTGGTTTAGCTTAATACAGGAATTATTATAAATCTTTATGTGAGACTATTTTAACATACAATAATTAATAACTTTCATACTGTAAATATCTGGTATTTCACTGAAACATTGTAAAGGCATGGTTTTTTACTCTATTTTATTTTATTTTATTTTGTTTTCACAGAATGAAGGTGAAGATTTCAGCTATGTTATTGCATTTTTCCTTGGAACAGCAGCCTGTTTGTACCAGGTGTGTTCTTCTGCTTGCATAATTCACTAGAGTTTAGAAACATTACTCAGTCATGCATAAATGTCATCATGTTTTCTTAAATGTCACAGATACTTGAATAGGATGATTATAAAAATAATTTCTGCTCTTTTTTCATTAGTTTGATACAAAGAGGTTCTGTTTCTGGTGTTTTTCTCCAGTTAGTTGATTAAGAGATTTGGTGTACTTTTCTGTCTGGAGCTTGCAATTTATCTCTAAAGTCACAAGCAGTGGAGGTTATATCATTTCCTTAAAGTAGTAGTCTCATAGTTCAAGTAAGCTTAACCACCTGAACAAATGCCTTGCTACATCTTTCTTTTGGGAAGATTTGAAGTAGATACAGTAGCACCTAGGTATTACACTTCAGAATTTTCATCTCTTTGTACACTATAGTGCATCTCCTTCCTTTTCAAAGCTTTCAGTTGCTTTCCACTATGTTTTCTTTCTTCTGTCTGGTATTTCATGTCTGTAGGTTTTCCATTTCTGCATCTGAATTTGATCTTCCTATCTAATTTGTAGCATGGTATTCTGGTGCCCATTGGCATTTGTCATTCAGTAACACTGCTGTTACTTTTAGCTATGACTATAATGTCTGTCATGCTCAGTTGCTGTTACTATAACTCTTCTGACTTCTAATCTCTTACACTTGTGGAGTATGTGGTTTCTACTTGTTTCCATGTGCCAGTGTTTAATACAGTGTCAGATCATAAGATAAAATAATGTCTCAGGATTTTCCTTTCACATCAGGATTTCTGTCAGTCAGCATTTTGTCCAGATTAACTGTAATCTCCACTATCTATAACTTATCTCTAGCAAAATGTTACAGTACATAGAATCACAGAATGGTTTGGGTTGTAAGGGTTTAAAGACCATTTAGTTCCAACCCCCCTGCCATGGGCAGGGACACCTTTCATTAGACTCAAAGCCCCATCCAGTCTGGCCTTGAACACTTCAGGGATGGGACAGCCACAACTTCTCAGGGCAACCTGTTCCAGTGTCTCACCACCCTCACAGTAAAGAACTTCTTCTTGATATCTAATCTAAATCTGCTCTCTGTCAGTTTAAATCCATTCCTCCTTCTTTGGTCACTACATGCCCTTGTAAAAAGTCCCTTTCCACCTACTGGAAGGCTGCTCTAAGGTCTTCCTGGAGCCTTTTCTTTTCTAGGCTGAACAACCCCAACTCTCGCAGCCTGTCTTCATAGGAGAGGTGCTCTAGTCCTCTGATAAAATCTTGGTGGCCCTCCTCTGGACTTGCTCCAACAGGTCCACCTCCTTCTAGTGTTGGGGGCCCCAATGCTGAACGCAGTACTGCAGGTGGGGTCTCATGAGAGCAGAGTAGAGGGGGAGAATCACCTCCCTCGACCTGCTGGTCATGCTTCTTTTGATACAGCCCAGGATGTGGTTGGCTTTCTGAGCTGCAAGTGAACATTGCCAGGTCATGTTTAGCTTCTCATCAGCCAACACCCCAAGTCCTTCTCCTCAGTGCTGCTCTTAATCCATTCTATGCTCAGCCTGTATTTGTGCTTGGGATTGCCCCAAGCCAGGTGCAGGACACAAGTACAACTTGTGTTCTTCACCACTTGTTGCCTTTTCATTAGCTGCTGCCTTAAATAATTCTTCAAATTGGTGTTCATTTTCTTCTGAAGAAGAAAATGTACAGAAGTAACAACTATCTCAGTTGAACCTGAAGTGTAAAGTGTCAGGAGCTGAGCCTTCAGTCACTTCTTACCATTTATTAAAAAAACCCCACTCCAAATGAACAACTC